CCCCTGATCAGTGAAGTTCTGGGTTCTCTTTATGGAGAAGAGTGGCATTGCATAGAAAGCAGACGGATGCAATGGGATCTGATACCATGGGGCTGTGCACAGATTTAGCATCTAACCTGAAGAGTGGGTCATCATAATTACATTTTGCACTCTGTGGGAACAGGGTTGGTTCCCTACCCTCAACCCAAACAAAACAGAATGTTCTTCAGATGAGACAAAACCAAGATGTGCTTTGTTTCAGGTGGAAAAAGATGGCTGCATCCTATAGGAGGAAAGTGTGGTATAATTTGGACAGCTGGGATTTCCTCCCTACACTGCTCTGCTGTACAGCATCAGACAGCACAGCATGCCTTCCATGTCTTTAGAAGATGGCAGAGAAACAGGCAAGGTTGGGGAAACTGAGATATCAAATTTCAAAGTAATTGAAAACAAGCGCAAAATTAACTTGGACATATTATGGGAGAACAAAAAATTAGAATATATCCTAATGAAAAGAAAGGAGACCTTAAATAGATTGTAGGTGCTTTGAACACCCACTGCTATCTACAGTGGGGCAGATGTGTAGGTCTCCCCGCTCTTCTTCTGCATGAAGAATTCTGCAATTCTTTCTTGAGACTGTCAACTCTTTGAGCATCCTATCACCCCAAGGTGAACAGATTATATCACAGTTTGTTAACTTGTAGACAAAGAGGTTTTCAAGAGATGCAGAGAAGATGAGGAAGGCAGAGATATCCACCCTTCATGCCTCAACAGAATAAAGGCACATGTCTGGCCTTCAGGTGGAGTCTCCTAATGACTACTGACTCTCAGCGATGCTTGCTGGTCTGCACCTCTCCACTGGGATCCTGGAGAGGGAGCTGATGCTGAAGTTGGGAAGGTGAACTTACACAGCCATGTCTAGCAATCACAGTACAAATTTCTGGAAGATGCTAAGCTTCATGATGTGTCTGCTGCTTATGCATTCCTGTGCTGTGCCACCCACAAAGCACTGATTTTACCCCACTACAGTTCTGTCACAGTGGCTGAGCCTACAGACTCCTTCTTGGCTCCCCTGTTGGAACTCCTCACCCTTCATTCCTTTCCAGAAATGAATGCACACATCTGGCCTTCCAGTAGGGTCACCTAATGAAACAATAACTCCCGTCTCTTGAGACTTGTCAATTCTTCAAGAGAGGATTCTCATAAAAAACCCAACAGCATTTTGTAGATTCTGCAGTCAGCCACATCTTGAGAAGTGACAAGGCACTTCAGCTGTCAGTACCCTCGACATCATCTTGAAGAACACCCAGTAGCCCAACTGTGTTGGCCAAGAACCATGGGAGAAAGTGCCCTGGGTTCTTGTCTAGGAACTGGTGTGGACATATCCTCACAGACAGCATGTAGGGCTGTTGAATTAGGCTCAGAACTAGATTAACAACTCATTCTGCACCTTCTAAAGGTTTCCTTCTCATGAGGTGACTCAGAAGAAGCACAAATTGCTGGTGCCAGGATGCTGCTGACCTGCCACAAATGGATTGTCAAAGGCATGCTCACCACATGGAGTCTTATTTTCCTCCTGAAAAGTCTTGCCACATTCATGAATTGGTAATGCCACCTTTGATGTCACCTTATGAATTATTCAATGACCACAAGCTTGTCTGGTGCAGGCTTCTCCTTCCTTTGCTAGCCCTCTTGGAAAAAGAAAACTCAGAAAGAGGTGAAGATAACATCCATTTGCACAGCGGTATAGACCTCTTTGTATTTATCACAATCAATGTCAAGTTTGATTTAGAAAAGGCCTCTTACTAGGCCACGATGAACCATACTGGTCAGCCTCCTATGCAAACTGCCTTCATTTGCTGGCACTGTCTTTAAACAGAGATGGCCTTTCCTCAAGCTTTGAGTAACCTGGCCTCAAGGAGCTGCAGAGGAAGGAAGTAGCTGAGGGGGAGATTTTATTATCACCAGTGTTTGGGGCCTTTATGTTATTTGGAACACTTCCTGATTGCATTTATTTATCGTATTATTTATTCTGCACAGAGAACATGCCAGGCACAGCTGTAGGCATAGCTGTACTCCTGGGCCTGTTTTACTAGATTTGAGAGAGAATTAAACTGCCCCCTCTCTTTCTCTCACAAAGAGGAGAGAGAGAGAGAGAGAGAGAGAGAGAGAGAGAGAGAGAGAGAGAGAGAGAGAGAGAGAGAGAGCAATCAATAAATCAAACTGGTCATGTTCAATCTGTTGAGGATGGAAATGGTTAACCTTCATTTCTAGAGTGGGAACAAGACGATGATACTTGGTGTTTGGCATACCTCAGGAGGGAGGGCTAGAACCGGGAGACAGGCTCCATGAGAATATTTGAGAACAGTGAAGGGTAAGCCCAGAAGCCTCCTTGAAGAGGAAGGATGCTGACCTATGACAGCCAAGCTTTGGTATCAAGCCAATAGGGGAAAGGAATCTGGAATGAGGAGGGGAGGAGGACACCATGTCTGAAATATGCAGGGGAAGTGACATGACCAGATGGACTTGAGCAGCACACTTGTTTTTAGCAGAACACCTATACTCCCTGGTCATCAGTAAGCCAGTTACCTCCTGGAAGGGCATATCGGGTTCTGGGATTTGAAGAAGCTCACTCTCCAGGCTCTAGGACTGGACAACATGCTTGCAAACACATCCCACTTTCATATCAGCATCAATAAGACAGGCAAAGCATGGAGAGATCTTTATGACTAAGACCAAGCTTTAGAAGCTCAGGAAACAAAGAAACATGGATGTCTGGGTGAATTAGAGATGCTGGGTGACACTGAGCTACTCTTAGGGCTTTACATTTGGGTTTCCCTTGGTGTTAGGGGAGGCCGTTTGGCTGGAGGAGATGTGCTCTCTGTCCCTTGTTTCTAAGGCTCCTTCTTCAGCAGAGGGATGCATTCGGGGGTGAAAGAATTTCCAGATCCCACAGGTATCTGTTGGAGAAGGGCAGAACCTTCTGGAGGAGATTCTGAATGGTGGCAGATTCAGCTCCCGCAGAGGAGGCTGGCTTCCACCAGTCATCACTACAGGTGTGAGGTCACTGGAATTCCAAAGCAAGAGTGCAGGGTGTTAAGCAAAGCAAACACACTCCATAAGTACCTAGCAACCACTTGGCCACTGCTGGGCCTCTTGGTGACTGTGTCTCTTCATGGGCTTATTCCCATCCCCAGGAACAAGAATGTCCCCATTCAAAGCTTTATAACCCAACTTTCCCCTTTGCTTCAAATGTATAACATATCTCAGCACTTTAAATTCAATAAAGGAAAATTTAATAGGTCCATCAGTGAGTGGTATGCAAAAATCAGCAGTGTTATGTTTATCTAGGAAAGCGATATAGGCTTGCTAGATGTCGTAGAGAGATAATAAAGCATGCTTGGCTAGGGATTTTAAGAATTTATGGGAAAATTAACTTCGGGTTTCATCTCATCTTGGCTAAGGAATACTTAATAACAATAACAATAATAAAGGAATAATATTCCCTTAATACAGTTGTGCGTTTCTTCAACTTCATGCCCTCAGCTTGATTACAGATTATCAGGTTTCACAGCATGGAAGATTGTGAAAATTAAATTAGGTGACAAGAACTGTTGCAGTCATGAAAGTGTTTGTATTGATAAGAAATGCTCAGTAAAGTATCTGCCTTGCACACCTGGAGAAGTAGCCACACATTATTAGTACAAACCATCTTTCTGGGTCAACATTCCTACATTCCAACATTCTTTTAATACAAAGTCCTATTTGAGGACTCTTTGTATTAAAAACTGGAGAGGGTAGAAAGGGCTGGAGATGCAGCTAAGTGATAGAGCACTTGCTTGGAATGTACAGGCCCTGGTTTAGACCCTCCAGCACTGAACACAAAAACCAAAGCAAACCAAACCAAACCAAAACAAGAACAAAAATGTAGAGGAGTGATATTAAGGAAAAGGCAAAGAATTCATAGAAAATTCCTGATATGTATATGAACCAATGCTTGACAGAAAACATTTTGCTATTGAGATATGAAATAGATAACATGGTAATTAAAATGTTCTCTTTCAAGTATGGATCAAATATTCTTTAAAAGCTTCTGGAATTAATTAGATAACAGAAAACTAAGCCCAAGAGCAACTTTGTCAACTGATAGATGCTTTTGGGTGATGACTGTGATAAGAACCTTCTGATGGGATGCTTCCTGCATCTGGTCCTGAGGCTGGGAAAGTCAACAGGATTGTATTTGTCTTGGGAGTCAGATTATTCACAGTGCAAAAAGTTTCTCACAGTGCAAGAAAGTTTCTAGGTTTGCCCTTTTCCCTCTACACAGTGATATTTCAGAAAACTCCACAAAGACTCTTCACGCCATGACTTGTGAAAGTAGCTACTTATTCCCTTTAGTACTTTTTTTCTTCTGAACTGAATGGCATTTTGCCTCAAAAATCTCTCTCTTGGGGTGATTTCTGGGTTCATGTTTAGTTGCTGTGAGCTGCTATGAAAGGAATGTGACTGACATGTGGAGGAATGGGGATGCTGAAATGTCACTATAAATACCCCACCACACATTGGACAATTCTGCAGCAGAGAACTGCTAAGGGAAAAATGTTAATAAGATTGAGGCAGGCACCCTTCACATAGTTTGTATTAAGATGGGCATGATGCTACCTATCTGTCATGCTGTGTTAGCCACTGAAATGGCTGGAGTATGTAGATTATTGACGCCCAGGAGCCCAAGTCTAGCCTGGGCAATACAGGGAGACCTGAGCAGGGGTAGCATAGGGAGGTTTCATATTATACAAATCTTCTCTCTCAACTATGCCGGATTCTCTACATGCATTTCTCAATACATATCCTATGTTATCAGGAATGAAAACATACTTCATCTTCCTGGACCATCATTTCAAAGAAACTCACTCCAATTATTGACAGCAGCAGCTTTGGTAATTTTCACTGAACATAAGATCCTAAGATCAAAACTGCCACGAGTGATCTAAGGAGAAACAGACAGAAGGGGGTTTACTCACCTCTGAAACAGGACCTGGCTGTACGCATCCAGGATGTGGGCGTGGGTGTGGAGCAGAATGGTGTTGTAGCCCACGAGTGCCACCATCATGATCAACATTTTTAACTCGTAGTTCACCCTCAGGAAAACAGAGCAGGCGATCAAGCCCAGGACACAGCTGTATATGAAGTACTGGGACAGGGGAACAAGACAGACATTTAGGATCACTAAGAAACCCCAATCACTTAAATCTGGGGGCGCTGTCAAACATGTATGGCCAACATGAAAGCTGGCAGAGGGGACAGGTGCATGTCTTCGCCCTCTGACCCAATGGTTCATGTCCAAGTGTGTTTTTCATGAGATTCCTGGCATAACAAAAAGAAATAGAAAAAAAAACCTACATTGGCCAAACACTTCAGAAAAAAAATCAAAACTACCAAAGCTGAAGACATGTTATGTCCAAATGCCATTTATTTCTTGAAAGTAAACATAGTGTGACTACTGTGCGCATTTATGGAATTTTTTAGAAATGGTATTAGGAAGAATCTTTCTTGGGCTTGTCGACTTGTTAATTCATGAAAGGATTTAAATCACTGCAGGTATGTCCATTAAAGGTTCCAGACTGCCACATATTTTATTAAGCAAGAACTTCCATGTCAGAGTAGACCTCCTCTAAATCAGGATTTAGGCTGAGAGCTTGGACCAAGGTGAGCCATGGAAACCCTTGGAGTTGGACAGGTGCCATAAGGATGCCAGTACACTGTATATCAGATCATAGGAAGCTGTAGGCCTGTCCACTTGCTTGCCCATCTCCCCTCTGTCTATCATAGGTAGGCAGGTGTTGGAGAGCCCTGGATTCAGCTCTGCTTCCTTCACTCATTATCAGCAGAGTGATATTTGGCTAGTGATGTAACTATCAATATCTTAGCATCTTCATTGTACAGTGAGGGTCCTGACATCATTCTTACAGATAACTGCAAAGAGCAGATATCCAAAGCCCAGAATCTGAGCCCTGCAGCTAAGACTGACTTGCCAAAGAGGGACAGTTGCCATTTCTGAAGGCTGCCTGTGGCTGCATCATGGAGACTTTAAGAACAACGTGCTGGATTTCTATTCCAGCATTTCCATGGCAGAAAGAGCATGGAAGAAAGGGTAGGTGTCTTAGTTCTGTGACTTGGACTGGTTCATAAGGCATCCAACTGGGTTTTCATCACAGTGATGTGCTACCCATGAACTCATGCCTTACTCTAAACCATTCCCAGGACTTAAATGGAAGGTTATTGATGCTAGCTCATGAGTTCTGTTCTCACAGAAGAGGAAAAGTTGGAAAAAAGGTGCAGTGGCCATAGAGCAAGGCTCCACTTTCTAATGGGCACTCGGTTGAGTGGAGGCATTAATGCGAGCCCTTTACTTTGGAGAACTTGCATCTCTCATCACTGTTTTTAAAGGAGCCAGCAATTGCAATCAGATGATACAACTGGGTTGCTCTAGCAGAACTTACAGTTTTTCTTGGGTGGATGCCTGGCAGCCACTCCCTGCTAAGGGTGGCAGTATCTTATGAGACAATTAGTGTTGTAATCATGAACGGTTCACCAATGATCATTCAATGTCGGTTAACCACTGCTCTGACCCACCATAGTAAATAGAGACAAAGGGCCATGATGAGATTATTCAGTGTGGCAAACTAAATAAGAGAAATATGAGCACTTAAGTAGTGAAGCCTACCTTTCCTCACAGTGGCTTTCTCAACAGCTGTACTGATTACATCTTAGGTAAGTAGTTAAGTAAACCTCAGGGGGCTTCCAAGGACTCATGGATACAACACGCTTTTGCACCATCTTTCCTAGGCTAGCTCCCGTGTGGACCAACATCTCTGTTGTGAGCCCCAGGAGACCTGATCAGAATGTTGGTAGTAATTTGATAGAATTAATTAGGTTCATCAGAATCTAACACAATGTGGCCTTGCACCCAATGTTTGTTTGTTTGTTTGTTTTTTTAAACTGGCTCTTTTTAGTTATGGTAATCCACCATTGTATTTTTTCAAAAGTATTAAAGCAAAATAGATTGGAAATTAAATAAAGCAAACAAAATGAAAATATGGGCTTTACAAAAAGAGTACATGTGGTACTGATTTGCAGCCTGGTGGTTCCTTGCTCAGGGGCACAAGGACCCCAAGCTGCTCTTCAGAATTGTGAGGCTGCACTAAACGCTGAGCATGGTGGGGTGCTCACCTGGGTCTCCTAGCCTATGTGATTCCCTCAGTAATCATAATTCTTGGAATGATTTTAAGTAACACTTTTCAGCAATTTACTATGAATATATGTTACTGAATTTTTTTCAAACATCTTATTTAAAGGCTCAGTTTAATTTCATTATGTGGTTGCAACAAAATTTATTTTTAAAAATTGTGTTTTTTCTACTTCATTTTTCTTTCTTGGACCAAAACCATGGTGGGTAAACTTTTCTGTCTTTAAAATTAATTCTCAAACTTAGCCTTTCAGTGTAAAGCGTTCATGTGTTTTTATATTTAAAATAGTAAACATTTTAACAAAATTTGTTGTTACTATAATTTTTGTAATTATTATAGTTATTATTAAGAAGAGTTATGTCATGACTAGTAGTAAGTGGGACCTTCTTCCCCAGATGGTCCCATTTACTTCAGTCTTAGATGTCCTGTAATAAGGGGTTAGATATTTGTGGTCTTGTGAACACTCAAGCATAAAGTTTCTCTGCTATTCTCGTGGGTGGATCTGCTAAGCCATGGTACTTCCCGGATCCTCAGGGGTTCTTGAGCTCCAGGGTTCATCATGTGGATTATGCATAGGCGGGACAAGCCAGTGTGGGGCTCCTTGACCAGAGTCTGCTGTCTTAGGACTTATGATTGGAACAAAGGCTAAGTTAAGGTCATGTCTGAGGGCCTTGCATTGTTTAGGCTGACATCACAGGCAAACGGCAAATCACCAGTGGGTGGAACTTTCTTACCGGGAGGAAAAACAAGCTTCGAGCACGGAGAATCGCTGCCTGGTTTTCTGAGACAGAAAAGTTTGCATTTGACATATTGGCAGTTGGAAGGGCTGTCTCCTCAGAGTCACTCAGGAAAAACTGCCAAGAGAAATGGTGGTTTTTTGGTTCAGTGAATTATTACAGATTGGATGGGATAAGCAGAAGGTGGGAGCACATTTATTAATGACTGTGTTTCTTATGTGCAGTCATTGGATGGTCCAGGGTCTCCACACAGCCAGTGATTACAGCTCTCAATTTCTCCTTCTTGAAATTTTGGGATGTTCTACTCAATATGTAAATAACCACTACAGCACTACACCTTCAATACAGAAACTCCAAGGCTTCCAGATTGCTGTTGAAAGCAGAAGCAACTGAGTCAAGTGTTACGTTGAAATGCACACAGTACAGGAAGGCTCTCTAAGCTCACATCATCCCATACACAAAGACTCAACCCTCACTCACAAAATGAGAGACACAGAACCGTCTTTAGTCTTTGCCGTCTTGGTTCAACATTCAATGAGTCAACAGGCTAAAAAAAAGGCAATTGCCTACAGACACATTTGCATGTAGCCACATTTGCCTACAAGCACATTTGCATACAGCCATATTTGCCTACAGCCACATTTACATACAGCCGAATTTGCAGGCATTGTCTGTGAGCACTTGGCCTTACAGGTGATGGGTAAGGGGATGGATGTTGCCATCGCTCTTGGTAAGACAGGTAGGACTAACAATGAACACCCAGAGCAGCCTCCAGAAGCAAAGGCCCAACTTGCTTGAAAGGCAGGACAAAACCAGCATCTCCCCCTGACCACTGATTAGTTTTCTGCCATGTGCCTGGGGATCGTAGACATATTCTGGAAAGGTAAACTAGAAACTTGTGACTCTCTCGAGCTCCTCTTTCCAGGTTGTGTGTTCAGTACAGGGCTAAGTGTTAGCATGCAAGATTGACGTGTAAACTTTTCCTGTACGTTTCCATGGCTGCTGTGTTTGTGTTTACCAGCTTATACTCCTTGTATAAGTTTTTGTCAGCTATCTAGATTAGTTCACTCAAGTAGACAGGGTGCTTATTTTCTATAATTTGAGTGGCATGCCTTCCCCGCAACAATGGGGCTAGATATAGTGTTTTTATCTATTATAAATAACACATATATTGAAAAGTCAGTGAAATGTAGATGTCTTTATCTGCTGCCAAATAATTTGTATCAAGATCCACAGTCTCTAGTTGGCCTATCGTTCTGCTAATTCTTTGGAAAAATTATAACAGGGAGAAAACGGAACAAAGAAATTATGTGACATACACTGTGCTCTAAAACACTGCAGAGCTCATCAATCCCAAGTGCAATTAATTTAGACACTGAAGAGTGTAGAAAGAAGAAAAAATGGGGCTCCCTTTAGCTTGGGGGAGATACTACCAAGTCTAGTTATAGGAACCCAGGACTTCAATTAACAAAAACTTCTTGATTATATCACCATGGAGACCAAGAATAAGAAAGATGAGGTGCTATGTTCATGTTGTATTGGTAGCAACAGTCTCTACGAAGCCCTTGTCCTTGCCAGGATGTTATACACAAGTACAATGTTATGAATCTGAAAATATGTAGAAAACTGGGGGTTTTGGAGCTGGCTCAGCAGTTGAGAGCACTAGCTGCTCTGGCAGAAGACCTAGCCTTGGTTCCTAGACACACACAACTGTCCGTAACTCCAGTTCCAGGGATCTGATACCCTCTCCTGGCCTTAGTAGGCACTGCATGCATGTGGTACACATATACACACACGTGGACATATACATAAAATAAAAAATCTTTAAAAAAAATCAGAGAAAATGCCAATCACTATGCACAAGAACGCTTCCTGACCACTCTTCTGTTAACTTCCCAGTATTTATGTGTCCCCAAAACAAGACATTTTCCTAGCTCATTCTCTCACATTCTTTCACATTAAGCCACCTCCCTTCTCATCAAGTGTCAACAATGCCATGAATACTGCCCCTCCCCCAATTTTATACTTCCCAGCAATTTAATCTCAATCAGAAGCATGTTTTCCAAGTACTGTTAACTGTGGGACACAGAATTTGACATGGTGATCTGTGCCTGGTGATGTCATTAGAAGTCTAGGTTGTTTGCTGTTGAACTTCAGTTAACTCTTGCCTGCGTGAGTCACAAGTTTATGCTTGATTTACTCATAGCATATCTGCTGGAAATTTCTCAGAAATGATGCAGGCTAGCACCTGTGACATCACCACAGTGCCAGCATCAACAGTGGCAGGGACATCTGGCTTCCTGTTAAACATCACTTCTTTTATTTTTTGAGATTATAATATAACTACATTATTTCTTCCTTCCCTTTCCTCTCCCCAAGCACTTCTCTTTTCTCCTTTTTTTCCATTGATCATCCAGCTTTTACATGTGACTCTAGACAGCTAGTTGGAAACTCAAGCAGAACAAAAATAAGCCATTTGTAATTTGATAACAAAATGTTATATTTGAAAATGGAGAACTAATATTTTCCTCCATTCAGTCTAGATATTTAACATCACATAGATGAATATGGGACAATTAAAATCCTGGTGACATCTCTGAGGTCACTTCATACACATCTCATTTGGACATGCCCAGAGCTACTGGAATGCAGGCTTGGAAAAACCATGAGTGAACAGAAACCTGTGCAAAGCTCCCCCGTACTCTCCCCCTCTCCACAGTCAGCAGCACAGGCAGGCTACCCACAGCCCCAGCTCTCTCAGATTGTCCTGAATACATTTGTCTCATCTTAGGTATACAGGACAATGGCAGTTGAGCCTAGAGAAGTCGCTGAAAGGGGCTGCTGGCTATTGGCTGGGAACAACAGGGTAAATGGAGGTTCTTCCATTACAGAAGGGCTGTGGCACCAATAGGAACACGAGAGCTGTGAGGACAGTATGTTATGTGAGAGAGGCCAGATACAGAAGGGCAGGATTGCGGAATTTCACTCACTGCAGCATCTACAACAAGCAAGTCTGTAGGGACAGGAAAGGGAAAATGTGTGCAGGGGCTAGAGAGGGGGAGCAGATGGTAGTGGCGACTCCATTATTTCACAAGTATAATTAATGCCATGGGATTGTACAAGGCACAAGGGTCAAATCGAACATCTTATGTAACATTTTTACTCAATAATAAATGCATTTTTAAAAGTATTTATCTGATCTTTGTTTTACATGTCATGAGTATTTTGCCTGTGAGTGTGTACATACATCACATGCTTGCCTGGTGCCTGCCAAAGGCAGCAGACAATGTCAGATGTCCTGGAAATGGAATTATGGATGAAGGGGAATTGCCATGTGAGTTTAAGGAGTTGAAACTGTGTCCCTTTGAAGAGCAGCAAGTGCTCTTAACCAACGGGCAATTGCGGCACCCCTGAAAATAAATATTTTTAAAAGGAAATAGAAGAAAAAAAGACTTGGATACACACACAGGAGACATGGAAAGAGTCATCAGGAGGAAAGGGGACGAGGAAGTGACATAATTACAACTTAATTAAAAATGGAAAAAGAAAAGACACCTTTGCTTTGTCCCTAAGAGAAAAATCCAAGAACCACTGGGTTTATAACTAAGGAGCTAACTATGGCCTTTTAACAAATGAAAATTTCTGTCAGGAAATCACTTCAATTTTCCTCAATGACTTAAACATACACACACACACACACACACACACACACACACACACACACACACTCTTTATCTAGTTTTTCCGACAAACATAAGAACTACTATTCTTGTTGCTATGTAAGCCCATTCCTAGATCAGCTTAATTGGGCTAAATGTAAAGAAGTAGACATACAGCTTGGGAGGGTAGGGCTCTACTAGTTTGTAAAGTGTGTTCCAAAGGAACCATGCTGTGTAGGAACCTGAGTGGGATGGAGATCTGGGAGGAGGGTCAGGCAGGAAGACACAGACACAATGGTATGAGCAGGTAACTGTATGGAGGGAGAATGGTTTTCTCCTGCACCCCAGTGGCATCTTCCCCAAGTGGAAGCATGGGAGAGGGAGTCCATCTCTGACTACCACACCCTCTGTTATCCATTCTGTTCTGTCCACTCTGATCCAAGGAGCCCAGTGCTGCTTGGGCACCTTTTGCTGAGGAAAGCCAGGAGGCTAAGTCTAGGTTTAGTGTGCTTGGAAGGCTTGTCTCCGTAAATCCAGGTGCAATAACAGGCAAGGCCCATAATACAAGTTCTCCCGTGATTAATAAAAACTCATGGGAAAGCTCTGTACCCACCTAGGAAAAACTGTCGCCCTTTTGTACACAATGTCAGCTTTTATATAACTTTATGATCTTGCTATGACATAACCACAGGAAGCCTTGCACATGAAAGACCCAGTGGAGGGCCAATAAACATGGATGTTGTCCCTGCCATCTGGGAGAAAGGCGTATGTTGTCTCCTCCTCTCTATGATGGACAGGAGAGGCAAGGAATCTATGCAGCACAATCCTTATCCTCCCAAAGGTTGTTTGGCATGGGTACAGGATCATATTCCTTCTCATTCAACTCCTTTCTTCTCCGTCAGCTTTGCATGTCTCTGCTGCTACTCTCTCCTCACCTGGCAGTATGCTCCTTTCATGTTAAGAAAGAAGAATAACACTGCAAGATTCATTTCTGGTACTGAAGGTAAAGTTGTTCTTTTTACATGGATCATAGCCATGGTGGAGAAATGTTTCTCCCCTGAAATGCTCAGCTTGTCAAATATGTCTACTTGGTGATTAAACTTCCTGTCAGTCATTATTAGTTATCCTATATGGGACACAAGTAGTTTCCAAATCAAATCTTTCCCAGTTATAATCTTTTACAAAAAAGTAGTTGATAAATCTTGGTTGAGTAAGGTCAAACTTGGTTTTACAAAAAGAAATAGGTAAATTCCCCCAAACTGCAAAACTCAGGCTGGAGAGACGGCTCATCTGTGCAGAGCTTTGGCTGCTTTTCCAGGTTTGATCCCCAGAACCCACTCGGTAGCTAAGAACCATCCCTCCATAACGCCAGTTCCAGGGCATCTGAAGCTCTCTTCTGGCCTCTGCAGGCACATGCAGACATGAATGTGGTGGGTGGACATACACACAAACAAAACACCCATGCACATAAGAAACCAAAGCAAACCAAGTCAAACAGGTGAAACCAACCAACCAACCAGCCAACCAGCCAGCCAGCCAGTCAGCCAGCCAACCAACTAGCCAAGTAACCATCCATCCATCCATCCATCCATCCATCCATCCATCCATCCATCCATCCATCCAACTAGCCAAGTAACCAACCAGCCAGCCAGCCAGGCAGCCTCACAAGGCAGATCACACTGGAAGGGCTCTGTTCATTGTGAACCCTGTCCCAGCCCAGGGGCTCACCATGTTGAACACAGCCATGGTTAGTATGATGGTTGTGGTGACAATCGTGAGGGAGATCCGTGGCCATGGGCGGTTGGCGATGATGCCTGATGATTTCAGAAGCCACATGAGAGAGGCAGAGGCTTTCTTGCTACATTGCTGTGGGGAAAGAGAAAGAAGAAACACACTGCTGTTTACTGTATTCTCTGAAGCGTAAAAATGATGGTGTTTAAAAACCGCAAGAAAAACCAACACTTTTCAGAGATTAAACAAATGGGTTCTGTCCTTCCCCAAGGACCCATAATAAGTCATGACCTTATTAAAATTATATTGACTGTTAAATTAAGAACAAATTAAGCATCTATGACAAAGGTATGATATTATTGTGTGTCTTTTCAGATAGACCTGAAATTATGATTTTAGGTAATTTTGGTGGAGGGAAAATTCCAGTTAATTAAGTCACTCTGGGGGATGTACTGAATGGATGTCTCATATGAGACAATAACTGTAAATTCAGTTGAGTTATGGAGAAAACAGATCAACATATCTCCCATTTTATGGCAGCAGCAGTTAGTCCTAAGGACAGACCAAGAGTGCAGACTCAGTTTGCTGACTGACTGAATCTACCTATAAGATACACAAAGATGAGTGGTTTCCTACCATGCTATTGGAGCTTTGTTCTTTCAGATTTCTCTCTCTCTCTCTTTCTCTCTCTCTCTCAGTAAAATACAGGCATTTGTCCAGAAATAATATATAGTTCAAAGTTTTAGAAAAATAATTTATCTATTAAATATAATCATAATTTCTCAAAAATAGTTTGGCTAAAGTTATCAAAGTAATATATTAAGATGACTTTGCAAAAGTTTCTTAGTCTCTTTGCCCCTTTTCTATACTTTTTAATTTATTTTTCTTTGTTCTCACATCCAACCAAAGCTCTTAACAGTCCCTCTTCCCCACCTCTGCCCTCACATGCACTCCTCCTCTGTTTCTCTTCAGATCTGGGAGTACGTCCCCTGGATACCAGCCAGCCATGGTGTACCAAGTTGCAGTGAGAGTAGGCACCTCCTCTTCTGTTAAAGCTGGATGAGGGGATCTTGTAGAAGGAAAGGGTCCCTAAAACAGGCAACAGACTCAGAGACAGCCCCTGTTCCCCCTGTTAGGAGTCCCACAAGAAGATCGAGCTACACAACCATAACACATATGTGGAGTGCCTAGGTTGGTCAGCCCTACACAGGCTCCCTGGTTGTCGGTTCAGTCTCTGTGCCACTATGAGTCCAGGTCAGTTGGTATTGTGGGTTTTCTTTGCTGCCCTTGACCCCACTGGCTCCTACAATCCTTCCTCCCCATCTTCTGCAAGATTTCCTGCAGCCTAATGTTTGGCTGTGGGTCTCTGCACCTGTTTCCATCAGTTGCTGGGTAAAGCCTCTCTGACTTCAACAGTCATGCTGGGATTGGTGCCTAGCCCAACTGTCATCACAGAAGTTCTCTTTTAAAAATTTATTTCAAACATTTCTCTTTCTTTCTCTGAGATCCACCGATTTTCACCATATGACTAGGAACTATCCACTGGAGACTGCTAGGTGCCTCAGTAAGTATGCAACTAAATAATGCCAGTGACTTTCCCCCACCCACAAAAGCCATCAGTAGTCAATACTCCTTCTTGAGTCTGTGGTTGACTGCTGGTGGATCCAGTCATATGAGGGCCAGTGTATGCAGTCACAGCTCCTTAAAGTCACCATTGCCCACAAAGTCAGCACCCCACACTACCTCTCCTCATCTTCTGGCTCTTACATTCTTTCTTTCTGCTCTTCCACAAGGATCCCTATGCCTTAGCTGTGGTGGTACAAATGCCCTGTTTAGGGAATAGCACCATGAGCAGCCATTTGGTTCTGCATGGATGTTTGAAAGGCAAACCGTAGGGAGGATGGGAGGATGAAGAAGGGTAGAGAGGAGTTAGAGAGCGTGTGACTACAGTAATCAAAATAACTCTTAATTTTTAAAATTATATTTGTTTATTTGATGTGTGTGCATATGTGGAGATCAGAGTTCAAAGGACAACTTACAAGAGATAATTAGTTCCTACCTACCACTGTGTGGGTTCTGGGGGGTTGAATGTATGCATCCGACTTGGTGGCAAGCACCTTTACCCACTTAGTCAAGTGCCTTTACTTACTAAGTTATCTTCTTGTCCTCTAGTTTCCATGATTTTGACTATTCTAAACACCTTGAATATGTGTGGTCATACATTTGCCCTGGTGACTGGTTTATTCCACTCATAGTTATTCCCCAAGGATCATCATGCTGTAGATGCTCCCTCTTCATCAAGGCAGAGTAAAATCCCATTGTAAGTGCATAGTGTACTTTTTTTTAAACTGAAGTAGATGTGGCATGCTTCCAGTTCATGGCCCAGTAAGCATGGCAGCCCATGGCCCAGTGAGCATGGCTACTGAAGCTCTCTTGCTACAAGGACTCACAATTCTTGTAGAATGAAAGCTGGAGTTTGCTCACCATTTTCCATGGGCTCTGCCCTGTCCTATGGTGCCTCATGGCTGTTCTTACATCTTCAATGGAGGCACCACTGAGTCTCACCCCAGTGTAGGTCAGAGGGTAGAGCACAGTGAGTTCTATCCAGGGGTGACTCACATGAGTCACATGAAGATTATGCTCTTAACTAATATGATAGGCAGTATCTGAAGAATTCTCCAAAGAATCTCCAGGGAGACAAGTTTCAACCTTCCTCATAGTGACTAGCCCTGAGGTGATGGATTCCAGAGAGCATGAAACTACCCCCAAGTTTATATAGTGGTAGGCCTGGTACAATGTAACTAAAAGCCAGTGTGAGATAACCCCCCCTGGCATTGACAAACAGCACTTACATGTCTCTACCTATTCCATATGCTCTTTTTGAATTCCTCCTAAAATACTGTTGACATAAGCAGTGTAGTATGTGTAATATGTTGAATGGTAACACAACTATCAAAAAAGGTTGATGCTGAATGAGAGGTTGTTAGAGGGTAAAAGACCAGTCAGCAGCGTCTATGCAATTCCCCACAGCTGTGAGGCTTCCTCTAAGTGAATGATGATCTCTTGTCTCCATTTGTTCACCCACCTCCTCAGCCTTTCAGAGACTTAAACGCAAGGCACTGGAAAGGGATGCACAAGTGTTGACTTTTCTCTCTGTATTGGGAGTGACAAATACTCACAATACTGAAGATTTAGAATAGAAAACACAAATATTTATCACTTCAAGGACAACGCATATCCATCTCAGATGTCCATATTATAACCAATTAGGTAAAGTGGTATCTAGTTACTACAAGACACTTTTGAAGTTATAAAATTAAAAATTCCAAAGTTTAGAATAAATTGTGATGATTTATACACCATCTAATAAGAGCATGTTATATTCTCCACCCTTAGGCTTGTCGTCCACTGACATAGATGTGGACAAACCCAAGGGACCTTGTCTCTATTCATGCAGCAGAATCAAGTGACAGACAGAACTTATAGAGACCATTTAGACACAAGGGTTTGGTGTGCATGGCCTCAGGACCACAGATTCAAGAAGCACCTGGCTCATTCCTGCTCCCACAGGCTTCCCCAGCCCCTCAAAGATGTATTTGAGACCATTTATAAATGTATCAAGCCAAATGCTCATTGTTGTGAATATCAAGGAGGGTGGCATCTCTGTTTCTATCCACATTACCAACGACAGGCAGAGTGAAAAACAAATGGTGACAGCTGGTCATTAGTGCTCGTGTCTAGGAAGAGGAAGCAGAAGGGCTTGGTGGGCAAACGGAGAAACCAATGATGGGAATATGAAGAACCAAAAGACCGGGGTTTTAAAATGAAAGGAAAACAATCAGAGGATAAGGAAGAACCCAGGCAGAGTGACACATGCTACAGTCCCAGTACTCTGGAGGAGAAGGCAGAGAGATCAGAAGCTCAAGGTCATCCTTGGTTTCACAGTGAGTGTAAGGTCAACCTGGGCTGACAAAGACCCTGACTCAGACAGAAATGGGAGTATGAAAAAGCCACACTAAACCTCATGACTTTGTATTTTAACTTATTATACAACGAGTCAACACTGGTTCTGTTTGCAATTTTCTACATTGTTCAGAATATTTGATTTTCAGTACTTGGGTAATGTCCCTGATAGAAAAAGGAGGCTTATTAAAACTGTACCAATCCTGATTCAACATTATAAATGAGAGCATTTTAAAACAGTATGCTGACCTGTCCTCAGAAGGAGCTACTCAACTGAAGAGGAGATGATTCCTGAGCCCTTGTTAAGGTGTAGCCCTTGACTTAACTACTAGCATCATTTCACCAAATATGCTTCTTTCTATTCTTGCTCATCACTGGACCACTGTGTTGGCTCTTTCTTACACTGAGCCAGAACCACATCCACCACCAACAAACAAGATTGATAGTAATAATATTAAGAGATATCTAGAAAGAAAGAATATACACTTACAGGAAAATCTTCCCTAGATGCTATGCTGGGACCCATGAGACCCACGGGGTAGTGGAAAGACACATGATAAACACTCAAGTCCTGGAACCCAAACAGGTAGACCCTGTACACAAGAGTTAGTGCTGATGAGTGCACTTGGATTATAAAAAGGGGAGAAGACAACTCTACCCAAACCATTGCTATCGCTGAGGCAGGGGACTTGGCTCAGTTGATAAAGCATGAGCTATGCCAATGTGAGGTTCAGATCCCCAGAGCCACACAGAGCCCGGTGTGGCAGAACACATCTGTAGTCCCATTGCTCTTATTGAGGTGGGAGACAGAGATGGGGGAAATCTTCGGAAACTTGTGGGCTAGCTTGCCTTGTGTATGCAGCACTGAAAAATAAGAAACCTGGTCTCCAACAAGGTGAGGGTGAGGAAACCTAAAGGTATCTTCTGACTTCCTTATGCTGTGCTTGGACAAGGGGTGATGGGGAGGGGAGGGGGAGAGGGAGAGTGGGAGTGAGGGAGGGGGAGACAGGGAGAGGGAGAGAGGCAGTGAAGGAGAGAGGGACCAAGAGAGAGAGGGAGGGAGGGAGGGAGGGAAAGGGAGGGAGATTTTGAGTTTTCAGTATTATACAGACCAGGAAAATGAGGAACTATTAGAACAAAATTTAAAAAATGATGCTAAATGATCACAATGA